AATTCAACGGCTGCTCTGCATGCGTGACGTCATTTGTTCTTTCTCGCTGGTTACTCTTGAAAACCACATTGTTTACGACCAATGAGTTTAGAAAAGGTATTTTATATCAATCTTGATTTGAAGCTTTCGTGACTGCATGAATCCATACTCTTTGGTTCTTTCGGTAAAGTCACGTAGGTAGAAAAAATAATGGATCACAACGACATTTTGATCGAAAGAACCAAAGAGTATTTTATATCGTTATAGGTTACCATAAGGATTTAAATGTTATCGTAGTTATTTTATATTAGCAGATTCATACACGATTATTCTTCATATGACTCTCATGTATTATATAATTTCACACATTGCCACGTACCCCCTGGGGTCCACGAAACCCCCGGTTGAAAACCACTGCTCCAGACAGCACCTGTAGAGGGTATTTGATCTACTCATCCACGTTGACCAGATGGCTTGGTGGAGGTACGAATGTCCACACTTTAGCCCACCACACGACCTGCCGATTGACTGTGACGCATTCATTGATGGTGCCGAGTGGGCTGATGCGGCAATTTTAATAAACTTGCACCGTTGTTTCAATTGCCGTGCCGGGAGATACGACCGGCGACCTCTGCATTGCAAGTCCGGTGCGATGACGTTCACAACTTTGACAGAATCCGCGTTGTATATAATACATGATAAAAAATAATAATAATTGATGTACAAAAAGTGCACACCACATAATTCGGTGTTTACATATTATGAAAATGATATGCTGATGTACGAAAATAGATGGAAGAAACAAGGCAAAATGAAAACACATAACAGCATTTCACTGAATCGCTATATAAAAGAGCTCGTAATCTGCCACACGTTACTTTTAAACCAGAGAATAATAATATAGCGGTAATACAAATCCGTTGAGGTTTGCTCCCTTACCCAAGAGCTGAGCACTACAGCCGAATGTCACCGTGTATCGGCGTTCCACTCCGTACGATCGATACAGCTTCACCGATTTGACTTGCAGCGCACTGCACTCCAACTGCACTTCTCTTGCAAATGGGACAGGAAGCAGCAGGCCAAAAAAAATTCCCCCGCTCCCTTATCGTACGTTTAAATATGTGCACGAGGGCTGGGGCTCAGTCACGCACACGCCGCCCGTGCGTCATTATGGACGGCGGGATTGCCTCCTACGTAGTTGAAAATAAAGTGCGTAATTATTTCGGGATTTTTTCTCACATTTCTTTTGGTGCGCAGATCAACGTGGAAACTGACCAACTGCAATGTTCTCAAGACTAACAATAGCATCGACCACACTTGTCACGACACCGTCGCTTCCATGATTGACTCGTGTGCTCGTGTGTGTGTGTCACAACTGATTCATCGCAAAACGTACATTCCTGGCCATTGCCATTACATCGGCCAGCTTACAGCTTACATCAGAGACACCAGGAGCAGCCAGCAACGCTATATAACGGAGAGATAATGTGAGTTGCTCAATTAACATCTTGCCATGGTGGCGAGATGTTAACTAACCTCGCCTGGTATACAGGAGGTCATAGGTTCAATCCCGATCTTGAAGGCAGCGGCCGTTCCTCCCCTTCTACCAAGTGCAAGACAGCCTCATCAAGCCCCAAGACCGGGACCGGAATGCGGCCTGTGTGGGAGCAGGCGGTACAGTTAACCAATGCCGTCTAGGATGCGCAGTATTGCAAGGTCTGGCAAAGGACATGGTTGCTCACGAGCCCCGGATCATCACCTGTCACGTCCCCCTGAGAATTTTTCCAATTTTGTAAATTAATAGTAGTTCTTTATGTTTGTACTTTTTCCCCAAGTGTTTTGCACAATGCTTTAAAGAGGAGGGAGCACAGTGTGGTGGTTTGGTGCATGTGTTGTGACCTGCAGTGTGGTAGTTTAGTGTGTTTCAGGATGTTAACTACCTCGCCTGGTAAACAGGTCATGGGTTCGATCCCGACCCTGACGCCTATATATTTGGAGTTTCCATGTTCTCCCTGTGGTCGTGTGGATTTTTCTCCGGGTCCTCCGGTTTTTCCCTCCACATTTAGAATCAACGTGCATTTAGAGTATTTGGCTGCTATAAATTTCCACATGATAAGCCACTTCACTGAGATGTAATTTGTGGCCAGGTCACTTCTGAAAAGAGCTAGATAGCTCAGTGGGCCTTAACTCGTAAAATGAAAATAATTTTTTGTTTATTCAGTCCCTGAAGCAGCTCGCCGACATGTGGAGCGAAACGTCGGACATCGTGACGAAACAACACACGGTAGCAACCGGAAAACACATTTGAGAGTTATCACCGGTAGAGAATTAAAAGTTACCATATCTTGAATTCTTAAAAATTGTATTCTCATCAGACCTGTGCAGATTTCACACGACAGGCAGTCCTTGACTTACGAAACATGTTACGTTCCTGAGACCCATTCACAAGTCGATTTGTTCGTATCTCGGTACTCGGTATTTAATTGTGAATACGGTGAGTGTCATAAAATGTGTTTATGGTTTAACAAAAAATGGAAGCATTGTTAAACGCATAAATAAGAAAAAATATTGTACATTTGCATGTAATAATGTAGTGAATACTGTATTAGCAGGGTTGGCTACGTAGTGAATAAAACATAAAATAAACATGAAAGAAAGCAAATCAATTTTATTTTCAATAACCTTGAGTCAAACGGTTCACTGTCGTTGTGCGTCACGTGGGACGCTGGGACTCATTACATCTCGCGGGGGGTCGCTCTGCCGAACAAAATAGTTCCGCGGTTCGGTTCGTAAGTTATGACTGAACGTTCGAAAGTCAGAAGGTTAAAAATAATAACATGTTTTTTCAGATTGTCCTGAATGGTATTGGAGAGAATTAAGAAGATCTGGCACAAAGGGTAAGCTATTTTAATGGGTGCACATGCAATGAGAATGTGAGATGCAAGATCTGCCACGTGATGTTTTGAAAATGACTTTGGCACCTTGGCTATAATGACAGAATGATTAAAAACGTTCATACTTGACCGTTATTAACATTGATCCCATTGAATTCCAAATGCACTATGATTGTGAAATTACACTCCATAAAGAAAGGGAAAATGGGAGTGTTCATGCATTATGACCAAGTAGAGTCTACGAAATGTCAATTATCTGTTTAATATTTTACACTATTGTAGTTGCAAAGGGCTTATTAAACGGTAATGATGTAGGAAACTGCTTTGTGAAATAAATGCATGTCAGCTTATTGGCTAACCAAGGGTGCATGCAAGTTTTATTTCCTGGTTGTATGCTGGAGGGGTTTTCACAAGTTTCTACATTTGCCATTTATTCCTGGGGATATTTTTCACTTAAAAACCCCCCACAAAGTGGTTAAAGTGTTTGCCATTGGTGGTTACGTAGGAAATCCACAAAAGCCAACTCATTATTTCCACTGCAGTTTAATAATTATAAGCATTACTATCATGAATATATTGATGTTAACATAAAAACGTAAGGTATAACACAAATAAATAATGTACGATATGTATCATTAGCACGGTTGCCTACGTTCAACATACAGTACATACATGAACATGTGTATTTTCTACTGGGCTAAGAAAGGGTGGTTGAGTGGTAGAGCTTGCAATCAGGAGGTCGCGAATTTCAAATTCTTGATGGTAGTTGAGTCGGCCCATCATCTCTCCAGGGTCAATAAAGTAAGTGCCACTTTACATTAACTGTGATTAGTTTAACAAGTAGACTTTCGCGACCAATGCTATCCATCATTGGGTTTTTTGGGTTATATCGCGTAAATATAAATGTGTCGTTACACTTTCCACCACCCAACACAGCCATTAAGTAAGGTTTGCCACGTAAACATAATATGCCAATTAATTACTAGTTCAGCACACCGGTGTGTTTGAGAGTAAACCCACAACATTTACAATTGGAGTACGGCCTTTCGCCGGTAATTATAACCAGCCTCATCAGGCGATAGCCAGAATTGTAGAGAACTCCTGTTTCGGTCTTAAATAGAGGGATAAATGTGATGTCATCATTTGTGAACCAATCAGGTACGAAGACCAGAGAGGGGGGGGGGGTTAATGTGTTCATATAAATTACAATGGATATCTATTATTGGTTGGGTTATTCGTAGTAAATCAAAATACTTAATGTACGTACATTATGTATGCACATTATGCACGTATGTTATGTACGTATGTGCCAAATCACCATCGATGTATGGTCACCTGTATACAGGCATGCAATTAAACAGTGTGTTGCTTGATAATACGCTCCCATTGTACTATGGTGTCCTCTAGAAGAGACTCGGAATTATCCACGAGTGACTCAGTGCTGTGAGGCAGACGTGAGCACCGCCTCGATGCTCGCCGGTTGAGCCGGGGAATCACTTTTGAGCCTTTACAACTTCACAAGTGGCAAAAGTTACATTGAGGTGAGCCAATTTAAAATGAGGCCCCACGATCAATTATGAGCATGCCAATAGACAAGTTCTTGCGGAGACAAAAACTTCACTAGCAACAATTAATATTACAGTAAAACCTTGGATTGCGAGTAACTTAGTCTGCGAGTGTATTTCAAGACGAGCAATTTTTTAAAATAAATATTCATTTGATAAACGAGCGAGGTCTTGCAATACGAGTAGTACGTGCATACGCTTTGTCTGCCGAGCGTCACGTGATCACAACTGATATACGAGTGCTTTGATATACAAGTGCTTTGGATTACAAACACGTTTCAGGAACGAATTATGCTCGCAATCCAAGGTTTCACTGTATATAAATCTGCAAACTAATTTTCCCTGTTTAACAAACCGTGAGTATATTGCGGGTTTCCATATTAAGTGGAAAACGAATCTAAAAAGCAAAGGCACGAATTTGCACCCTGCCGTTGAAACACAGACGTGCTGACCATGTGACAACGACCCACAATCCGTCACGATTTCAACAAAACAAATTATGTAAACTACACAACGAGCTTTGGTGATGCAGTTACTGGAAATATGACGGGAAATTACTCACGTCTAAATGATACAGATCGTCTCCCATTGTAACCTGCAAAACAAAAGAACATAGACACATTGTACGTTAATACATGTGAAATAAAAAATATAATTTTCAGCAATTTGTCAATCCACTGTGGTGGTCGCACGGTATGTTTGACCAGACTTCACCACGGTGGTTAAGTTTACGTATGTACCATATGTTTAACTTTTTTCGCACCGTACGTAGCCAACCGTGCTAATCGGAGATGCGGGGAAGGACAACAAAACTAAACACAATTCATGTACCTCACCATACTTCTTTGCACATTTTGTCTTTTGTTCCATTTTTCTAAATCAATTATTATGCGGCTGATCCATATATCAACAGCAGGCAATATGCACCGATTCAATATTTCCCTAAGCCACATTACAGTAGTACGCTGCTTTCATTATTACATTCAGAACTCTAAACGCACTCCACCCTTCTCCATTCTTCCTCTTTATTCCATCAGTTTCATGATACTGGGTTCGCCGTCCATAACCGCCACAGGTCTATAGATATGTTTAAGTAATGTTTAAGTAATGCACACTATTTCCCTTATTTCGACCACTTGATTGTGAGGACACTACTGTATTTGTCGAGGGGATTTTGCTTTTTTTGGGGGTGTTTTCGAGTTTTATTTGCAGTGTGCACGAGACACGCACACTGCACTGCACGCGTCAGTAACGTGACGCCTTCCCGTCTCAATGTCAATGACTCGTGCACAGGTGTAGATACATTCCAGTAGTGTACACAAGCTGGACTGGACATTGACACGGCGGGCTCGCCGTAGAGACAATAAAACCTACCTGGTGAACGCTCAGGGCACATGTCAACAATATTGTACGGCCATGGGAGAGGAGAGAACGTGTGTTGTTTGTGTTGCCTCCGAAACGTCGTGATTTTTGTTTTATTTTATTTTATTTTCATAAATTTTGATGTTTTACCTACGTGACTTTACCGAAAAAACCTAAGAATATGAATCCTTGCAGTCACGAAAGCTTCAAATCTAGAATTGTTGGTAATTATTAATTACGTTACTCCCCTCCAGGCATGACAAATCCAATTTGCCGTTTGTTCATGATCCGAAAAGTTGCTATGAATTGTCAAATGTTGGCCCTTCAAACTGACGGCACCGGTGGAGCAGGTTTCTGTTGTTTACTCGTTAGGCTGGATATGTGCTGGTCGTTTTGGATTGACAACCAAGCATAGATTTTTGGGAAATGTACAATAGAATTGTTGCTGCGATCATAGAGCTGCTAGATTGAAAACTCAATTATTTAGAACTGATTTCTATGTTTAGTTTGATGTCCTTCCCCCGTGCCTACGATTAGCACGGTTGGGCTACGTAGGGTGCAAAATAAGTTTAACATGCATATGTACGTGATGTTGGTGGTGGTGATGATGATGCGGCCGTCTGGAACGCTCTTCCTTCCCATAAGGAAGCCACTGGATCGATGCGCTTTTAAATAATCTACATTGTAAACTCATTTCTTTAGAACTGATTTTCGTATTTAGTTCCTTGTCCTTCCCCCACACCTCCGATTGGCACGCTTAGGCTATGTGCGGTGCGAAAGAAGTTCAACATACATACGTGCATGATATACATGAACGCGGCGGTGGCTCTGAATGGAAATTAGAGGTTTCTACAACAACAAACATGTCACTTACCGCTCTTAAGAGGTGCAGTAGTAATTTAACTGGGCTTAAAAATATATATTTTATTTTTAATGATAGAATATAGTATTGTCATCAGTATGACATACGTATACCAAGTTTGCAGTCGATACCACATTGGAAAGTGGGTTAAAATTGAGTTACAAGATTTGAGGCTACAACAGAGTGAGTTAAATAAAAGCGCGCAATAAAATTACATTGCATTTAAATGGAACCTGGCTGGCTGCGTTAATAGCTCAAATAATGAGTGTGAATTATTATTGTATTTTGAAGATGTCATTCTTGCCAAGGGCTTCTAAACGAAAGTGCTGCCCTGCTTATTGCACCGGTTGGCGCGTGCAATGCCCGGCTCTGCCAGTCTGCTTAGTGTCAACATGTGTACTACTATGCTGGCGTCTTAATATCTTTAAAATCTAAACTCTTTCTACTTACAATATTATGTTACGGACCTAACGTGAATTCTTTCGCGTAGTTCCCCTTAGTAGCAGCGCTCACCTTCGGAAAGTACCTTTCTTTAAAGTTGTTTACAGGTCCGTCAACGAACAAAACAACTTTCAGATTTATGACGATAAGAGTTGGGCTTTTAAAGTTCTTGGAGAGGTGCCAACTTTGGTTTTACACGGAAGGTTAAGAGCTTACTTGATACTGCTACTTTATTATTGGGCACAAGACAATCTTGGGTTTACACAGTCACGTTTTTATCACTTTTATTTTCGTTTTTTTTTAAGAAATGCGGATGTAATAAAATAAGGTTCATGTAATTAAATAATATATCTAATGCGTACATGCCTTTGCTTGTCAATAATTGTATTGTGTAGTCGTTTATCAACATTCACGGTTCTGTTTATTAAATAGCTTGAAGACCATTTTAAAAGGAATGCTGAGTTAGCGAAACGTTGACCTTATCTCTATTTGTAAAAGAGTTTAATTAGTTTATGTATACAATACATATTCAATTTTCTTCTTGATCGTGCTAAAACTTGTCAATGCACACGTACAACCCACAAAATAGACAATAACCAAGCTTGCAGTCTTTCACAATCGCTCTTAAGCAAAGCAACAGACACTTAGTGCCGAGGATATGATGTGAAGCTGCAACGAAATTCAAATAAAATTGACCACAAAGCTAAAACAACCAAAAAGCGAGAGCATTCACTTTAAATGACCAACCCAAGATTGATGTGGAGTTATTAAACACATTCCTGCGGAGGGAGCTGGTAGGAACGTTGGGTTGCTCGGTCAATTCCGCAAATATTCCCGACTGTGAGGGCGGGCACAAGCCGGCGTGAGTAGGTTAAACGTTGAGTTTTATAAGGGCACCACGGGGTGACCAGCCCCTCCCCACCCAGCCCCTCCCCACCCAGCCCCTCCCCACCCAGCCCCTCCCCACCCTGCCCCTCCCCACCCAGCCCCACCCCTCCCACCCCCCACCCAGCCCCACCCTCCCCACCCAGCCCCTCCCCACCCAGCCCCTCCCCACCCAGCCCCACCCTCCCCACCCAGCCCCACCCTCCCTCCCCACCCAGCCCCACCCCCCACCCAGCCCCACCCTCCCCACCCTCCCTCCCCACCCAGCCCCTCCCTGCACGACGGACGGACGGACACAATAATCCCCTGTGGGCTGGTGGAACCAGTGGGTTCCTACCAGTATGAAACACGTGTGGGAGTTTGATTCATTGCGGCTGTAACAGACTGCGTGCAATGTTAGCATACGATAATTATAGGCCTTCATCCAGTATATTTCTGTGGTTTTTCACTGCTGCTAATGATGATATACTGTAGTAGTGTACGTGACTGGATTCAAGTTGTGTGTAAAAGTTTGTGTAAGTCACCACGTATTCAACCGTCATGTGCTTGCCCTGACCAGTGTTGTTGTAGTAGTACACCCCCACACACACACACTCAGTTTCTAGAGACGTTCACATCAGATACGTGACGATGTTACTACTGGCTATTACTGCAGGACAACTTGTCCAGTAACACAACGGGTTCACATTTTACGCAAGATTGGGTGTGGACCCCTTCTCAAATGACATTTCTGCCTGTGCGTCACTCGGCAATGGTCGGGGAAGCACCGAAAGACGTAGTCGTGATGCGAATCGAGCGTGTGTTGCTACTCAAATAAAAACATTAAGAAATGCACCGTCGGAAACAAATATTAAACCTTTTTTTTATGCAGTACTTTCCCCTCCGGCTGATCTCACAGTTTCCAGCATTGAGATGACCTTTTGACATTAACGTGTTATGTTGATGGTCAACAACTGAAGAAACCCAGTGCCATGTTAAACATGACATTGCCACTTGAGATGTTGAATCATATAGCGAGGGATATGGTTTGCCAAACTCTTTGGTTCTTTCGGTAAAGTCACGTAGATGAAAAAAATGAAAATAACTAAATTAAAACACGACGTTTCGGAGGCAACACAAGCTTCCGTCATGTGTTGCCTCTGAAACGTCGTGATTTAATTTAGTTGTTTTCATTTTATTATTTTCATTATCATTTTTATTTTTCATCTACGTGACTTTACCGAAAGAACCAAAGAGTATGGATCCTTGCAGTCACGAAAACTTCAAATCTAGAATGATTTGCCAAGTTTGTTTTTTTTGGAAGGCACAGAAAAAGAGGGAGGGACACCAATTAAATCCTGTCCACTTTATTTTGTGTAGGTTTGGGGATGATTATGCTGGAGATATTTACCTTTAGGTTGACAAGAACATTATATTTATTTAAACACACGTAAAAACAGGACACTGTTTAACCGGTTTTACTATAAACTATATGGCTATTTTTCAGAAGCGACCTCATCACGAATGATAGCTCAACAAAGTGGATTCTGTGGAAATTGATAGCAACCAAATACTCTAAAACGCGTGTTCTCAATGTGGACGGAAGATCCGGAGGCCCTGGAGAAAAATCCACACCACTAAACTCCAAATAAACAGGCGTTAGGGGTCAAACCCACGACCTCCTGTATACCAGGCAAAGTAGTTAACATCTTTCCACCGTGGCGCCCTTACAAAAATCAAACCTCGTGCTTTAAAACTCTACCCAAGTGACCTTTAGAATGTGTCCCTATGCTATATTACTCTACTGAAGTGTTGTATTCATTTCAGACTGAGGATTTACACTCTAAACTGTAAACGCATTTCAGCGAGCCTCTTGAATAGCATGCAACTACCTGCGTTGTGTTTAGAATATTACATCATTGACTTCGACTTACTGTGTGCATGGTGGTAAAGGAATGTTTGAAGAAGATTACGTAACGTACCTGGTACACAGGATAGGTGACAAGGTTGAACGACGACAAAACAGTCATGTCGTTCAGTGTGTATAGTGCTCACATCTCACCTAT